AAAAAAAAAAAACAGACCCTGGGAGAGCAGAGACATCAGATCTGTTTACTGCTGGCTGTCACTTCAGTTTCTAGAAAAGTGTACAGCGTGTTCACCAGATAATTTTAGGATGAATAGAGTAGGTCATCAGAACTTTGGGGGTTAGACAGGAAGGAAAATCAAGCCATAAGGAGTGATGAACCTCGGTAAGCAGGCTCAAGGAACTTGAACCCCATGAAGGTAAAAAGTAGGTCTAACAGTAGAAGAAGCAAGAGAGGAAAATAACAGAAAAAGGAAGCTGTGGTTAGAGAAAAACTCTCAAGTACACTTTCTGCTTGAAGCCTTTTACAATCAACTCATGGGATGTTCCCCCAACCTATGCCTCTTTGAAGATACTGCATCTTTTAGGTGTCAAGTTTTATCCACGTGGCTTACTTTTATCTCTTTCTTCACCACCAGTGAAGACACTGCATCAGGTTATACCCACATGACCCATTTTCATCTCTTTCTTCACCCCTAGTATGGACCCTATCTTCCAACAGAGGCTAAATTAAAAAAAAAAAAAAAGGAAGTGATTTCAACTGTGTGTTTGAAAGTTTAGCATTCCTGGTTTGTATCTATGGTGTACAGACTGAAACAAAAGCAGAGTATTCATTGGAAGGCTGGGTTTCAAATCTAGATTATGCCTAAGTACAGCAAAACAACTTGCATTGAATGAATCAATACAAATGAGCAGGGTTATGCCTGTACAGAGGCCACTAGATAGAAAACATAACTGTTAGAGTCCCACTGGCCGGATGGTATGATGCAGGTGAAAATAATAAAACAAGCCTGATATTAGCGTGCACTTCAGAACTGGCAGATGTGCAAAAAAATTAAGGTCTTATGTGTGAACAAAAGGGGGAAAAACACAAAAGCAAATTGCAACGTGTGATGGGTATCTTAGTTTGCCTTCCATCGCTGCTAGAAACATTGCCCAAACCCAACTTGGAGTAGAAAGGGTTTACTTTAGCTTACAGCTCCGAGGTCACAGTTCCACAAGAGATAACTGGATTCAGACATGTAGAAGATTACAGGTAGATTCGTATTTATTGCCATGCAAAAACTTAAGTGCAAACGGATCAAAGACCTCAACATAAATCCAGCCAACATTTTTATGAATTCAAGACCTGTGGAACAGTGTTCTTGGTACATCTCACATTTTATCACCCAACAACATTATGAGGTAGGAGCTATTTTCTTTATTTTACAGATGGGGAAACTGAGTCACAAGAGTAATTTGCCCAGAGTCATTAGCTAAGTGGCTGAGTTAGTACCATGAATTGAATGTTTGTACTCATTGAAATCCTACTCATCAACATGTTGGTGGGTTTTTCGGAGATAAATAGGTCCTGAGGGTGGAGCCTATATGAATGTCTTACCTAGCTTGTTTCTCTGTTGCCGTGATAAAATACGGACCCAGAGCAATTTGGGCAGAAAGGGAGTTTATGCCATCATACAATTTCCAGTTCACCATCAAGGGACACTAAGGCAGGAGCCTGGAGGTAGCTCTGCATGACCTACTCAGCTTGCTTTCTTATACAACCTAGGACCACCTGCACAGGGGTGGCACCAATCACAGTGGACCAGGTCCTCCTCCATCAATCATTAATTAAAAATATGCAAGTCCTCAACTGAGATTCTCTCTTCCCAGGTATGTCAGGTTTGTATTGTTGATAAAACCAACCAGTATATATCTTTAAAGATCTAACATATATATATATATATACACACACACATATATATACATATATATATATATATATATATATATATATATATATATATGCACCATGTGTGTGCCTCATGCCCCTGGAGGCCAGAAGAGAGTGAGGAGTGGATAATGTCCCAAGTGAATGTGTATTGTTGACACAAACACAGTCATGTCAAGGACACCAAAGCCTATGGGAATGGCAAGGCCTTCCCCTTGTTCCAAGTATGACTGATGAAAGATTGTCCTGTAGTTTCAACCAGAACATGTATAAAGTACAGACTGCAGCTTTCTCATCACCATGAGTACAGCCTCAGGCGGCTCCTCTCCCAGCCTCCTCTTTTGTGCTATATATAACAAACATGCTGTTTCCCAGCTGTTTGTGGTGCATCTCCATCCAAGTGCAAGGCCTGGCCCATTCCAGCACCATATTACTTGTGCCTGTCATTTCTTTGTTCCCTGTTGCTCCATACAAGTCAACCCTAAAGCCATGCAGGTTAAGGCAGAAGATGGCAACAGATGCCTGGAACTGGAGCTACAGGCTGTTGCAGGCTGCCGGGCGGGTGCAGGCAATGAACCTGTTCCTCTGTAAGAGCTCTTAATTGCTGACCCACCTTTCCACCCAGTCAGTACCCTTAAAAAGGAACCCGAGAGCTCTTGACTGCTTTTTCACATTGTGAAGCTGCAAGGAGAAAGTGGTGACTTGCATCCCAGAAAATGGACAGGTTCAGAGCCTGGCCATACTGGTAGTCTGCTCTCAGACTTCCAGATTCTAGAACTGGGAGAAATTTGTTTATAAACCACTAAGTCGAAATGCTTTATTATAAGAACTCAAATCCACTAAGAGTAGGATATGAATCCAAAGATGCTATTAAAAAAATAGTCTGAAACCATAGAGAAATCCAGTTTGTTGAATAAATAGTTAATGAGCACTTGCTATATCTTACACATGACGTTGCTAGGGATGCTAGGAATGGGAAGGAAGAAAAGCAAGCAGTAAAAAAAATCAGGGAATCCTGCCCTGTATACACATTACAAGGTAAATTAACAAATACATTACAGATACCATGAAATAGAAAAGGAAGGGATGGATTACAACCTGGTAAGAGTATTCTGGGGAAAGGGGATGGCAAGTGCAAAAGCCGAGGTGACAGCCTGTCCTAGAAGGGAAAGGGGGAGAAGAGTCTGCAAAACAGAAACTAGTTAGTATATGTGGCTGGAAAACAAAGAGTAAAGGAGACTGCTGGGGAAAGTGGGAGAGACAAGTCCAGATAATGGCGCCCTAGCCAGCAAAATGAAACCACTTAAGGGCTTCGGAAAGATAGTGCCCTGACTGGATCTGTGTCATCGCAATTCATTTGGCAGCGGAGTGACAAACAGACTGGAGTGGGGCAAGAGCAATTTTAGGGAATGTGGACAGTGGCTACTGCAGGACCACAAGCAAGAGAGGAAGGCAGCTTAGCAAAGAGTGACGGTAAAGGAATGGCGAATGACATGGAAACAGATCGTACACCCGAATTTTCAGGAAGCAGACCATTTAGGCTAACCTATTTTGTATCAAGCGTGCTAGGTTTCTAGGATATCGGAATGGATGTCTTGACCCTTTGCTGAGCTAAGGACTGTGGGAAGAAGGTTGGGGGGGAATATGACGACTCAAGTTGAGTAGGACTGACAACACGCTCTGGTCACTCAGCCACATGGACCTGCAGCAGAGGCTGCTGGAAAGATGAAATCCGAGTTCCACGGCAAGGCTTAATGAAGACTGGAGGGTCTGAGAGAGGGCATCTGAAGCCAGGAGAAGAGGATGAAACCATCTAGGAAAGAGACTATGGGCACTCATGGAGGCTCACGGCTCGGATGATTCCAGCTCAGGAGTTAAGACAGGGAGAAGCTACTTGCTGAAGAGTAAGAGTAAGAGGAAAATTGGCAAGAGAAGAGAGGAGAGTGTATTTGGAAGAGGCCCAACAAGATCAAATGGTCTTCTAGAAGGAAGACTGAAAACTAGATAGACAGGAAGAACGTGACAACAATTCAGAGCCACTGCAAATGGAGAGGGGTGGAGCTAGAGAACTACTCAGGGAGGAAGGTTTTTAACATATTTGTTTATTTATTGGCCATAAATATGTACTGTAGTATAAGTGCTGAGGTCAAAGGGTAACTTATGGGAGCTGGTCCTACCATGTGGGTTCTGGCAGGTGACCCCAGATTATCAAGCTTGGTGGCAAGGGACTTTATCCATCTCACCGGTCCCAGAAGAATATTTTTAAAGAAAGGATGAGGCGTTAGCATGCTTACAGTTCTGGTTAGAAGCAAAAGGGAAATCAAGATACTACAGAGCAATACCCCTGGCAAAGTAGGAAGGGACGGCAAACTCAGTGTTACAAAAAGGCAATGAGGGCCAGAGTCCAGCAGGAACAAAATGATAGGGAGAAGGCTGAAAGCTTCCACAACAACAACAACAAAAAAAAAAAAGGGCGAAGAGCTGGTGGTAAGAGGCAACCTCAGTTGCAGTAGCTTTGAGGCTACGGAAGTCACACTTGTCAAGTTCCAGGGGTGGAAGCCGCGCCACCTCGCCGCAGCTGCACGCCACCACTGCAGAAATGGCTGAGAAAAGGCAACACAGGATGTTGCCTGAAAAAAGGCAGGCAGGTAGGGTTAGGATCGATTTCGAGTGTTAACAGCAGCATCAGCTAGAGCAGATCACTTCTCCCGCCTCAGAGGGAGGACAACGTACCACAGAGCTCTGGCAGTATGCGTAGCCAAGCTGAATCTCACGTGCCACGTGTTAGGTAGCTTTCATCCCGAAAAAGAACCATCTCGGGCCTCTGTGGACAGTTCTCGGCAGATTCCCCTTACCGGTGGCCGGCATCGGCCTGCCCTCCCAGCTCGGCTGCACCGCTCCGGACCCTCGCGGCTTATCAAAGTTCCCGGGCGGTCTGCTTCCGCCGCAGGATCAGACCGCACGGGGGTTTCCATCAAGTCCCCGCCACCCCGGGAATCCCCCCATCTAGCCACACTGAAACCCCGCTTCCTCCAAATTTCCTCAGCCGGTGTTTGAAGCCTCAGCTCGCAGTATTGAGGTTTGGACCGCTTCTGCAGAGCCGGTCCCAACACGCCTACACCTGCCTACCACGATCAAAGCCTTCGCTGCTCCCGGAAGAAGCCGAAGACCTTCGGCAGGTTCCGCCGCCAGCGCGGGGGCGGGGCCTCTCGAGCGGCTCCGTGCCGAGCTCGGCTATTTCCGTGAGTGGCCGCTGCGCACTCGGCACTGGGCGGCGCTGGCTGGCTCCCTGGCTGCGGCTCCTCAGTCGGCGGCGGCTGCTGCTGCCTGTGGCCCGGGCGGCTGGGAGAAGCGGAGTGTTGGTGAGTGACGCGGCGGAGGTGTAGTTTGACGCGGTGTGTTACGTGGGGGAGAGAATAAAACTCCAGCGAGATCCGGGCCGCGAACGAAAGCAGTGACGGAGGAGCTTGTACCACCGGTAAGAGGAGCAGGAGGAGGAGGCAGGAGCCGGAGAGAGCCGGGGGGACGGAGGGGGGCCGGGGAGGCGCCGGACACCCGCGCTCGGGGCCTTCCCCTCGCAGGAGGGGCCGCGGTAAAGATGGAGCCTCCGCCCGAGCCCCACAACACCGCCGCCGCTCGCAGCGAACAAAGAATAATGGCGGCGGACTGGAGCCAGCGGCGGCCGGGCGGCAGCGACTCTGCCTGCAGCCAGCGGCGGCGCTCATGGCGGGGGGCGGCCCGGGCGGGGTGCGAGCAGGCGGCCGGCCGGCCGCGGCAAGCTGGCGCCCGCGTTCCCGCCGCCGGGCCGGGCTGGGCCAGGCGCGGAGCCGGAGCGGAGCGGAGCCGCCCCGGGGGAGGCCGCCCGCCCGCCGCCGCCGCCGCCCCCCGCTTGCCGCCGCCCGCCCGCCGGCTCGCTCGCTCGCTCGCTCACACACCTCGGCTGTGCCGGGCTAGCCGCCCGGGCCGCCGCCTGGGTGCCCGTGGGGGGTGGAGGAGGAGGAGGAAGAAGAAGGCGACAGTTGAGGGCAGAGGAGGTGAAGGTGCTGCCGCCTTCTCGGCGGTGCCTGCTCGGCGAGCGGACGAGCTGCAGCGTCCGACCTGCTTTCCTCTCCGCTCTTTGTGCAATAAAGTTCGAAACCCAAGGTTTTCTCTGGTGCTGTATTTTATTCTTGCCCTACTCCCCTGCTCCCACGCGGTTGGAGAAAATGCTGTTTTCTGTCCTTGGCTGCTCGAAGGAGGATTTTTGACTATTTCTCTCACCCTTCGGTTTTGAAGATGAAGAATAAAAACAAAAAAAAAAACTACAATAACAACAAAAAAACTCAGTCATGGAAATGCATTCTTTTGGGAAGGAAAGGGGTGCTAAGAAAACATTTGTAATAACTTTTTACAGAAACTGTTGGGATCTTGTAAAAGGGAAGCTCATGTTTGAAAACAGTTTCGCTTTTAACCCTTTCCAATAAGATAATAATCATTTGAGGTCAATCATTCTGAAACCCTTCTTAGAAATGAATATTAGTCGAAGTACTTTTTGTTTATACCATGGAGGGGGGGCAGTCGTGCCAAGGTTTTTTGAGTCATCGGATCTCCCCTTAATCTTACCACCATGTTTCTCGCACACGTCTGTCCAAACTTTAATAGAAGATTGATACAATTCTCACTCTAAAAAGGCCATTGAAATTGTCCATTATTTGTGTATTGTGTAGTAGGCAATCCCAAGTCTGAGGTTGATGACAATTTAAAGCCAGCAGAAGTTGTGGTGTTCCTTTTCTTTCCCTTCCTCTATAATATTGGCAAAGGGGACTGACTGTCAGAAAGTCATCGATTACATTAAAGATTGAAAGACATTTTCTAAGAGCATTGCAGTATGACCTATTTAAACCTGCTGTACCTTCTCAAAAGTTACCGTTTGATTCCAGTTTGCATCACATCTACCTTCTAACGATTTAGCATAAGATACTTTTGGGCTGTCTAATAAAATCTTGTGCACCTACTGATCATTTCCCGACTTAAAAGCAAAGCCCCAAATAATTATTTTAATTGCTTTGAAAGATGCACAGTTTGTTTTTAAAACAACCAGCTACTGTACAATTGAATTGTGATTGATGCATACAAGGCTTTCGGGTAGGAATAAATATTGATTGACAATAGAGCCATTGTGTTTGATTTTACTGTGTGTCAGTAAGGACTTTGAAACTTTGTTGCATTGGTAGTCTTTAGCACTTGGACAATTTGCCATTGTCAAGAAAAATTAAGATGCAGTATAGGAATGCTTCCATAGGATTGAGATGACAGTTTTATTTCCACGAAATGAAGAAGTGATTAAAAGTAATGATGGTAAAATAGTTTTTTCAAAAGATTTTCTACAAGCCAATAGCGATTATACAAGAAGACGATTCTTCCCTTGTGAGAATAAAAAAACATTCCTGTCGTGTCCTTTCTTCAGCCTTGATCAAAAGATATTTTAATTTTTATTTATGGAGTCACTTATCGAGAATCAAATGATTCTCAGTAGTTGCAAGTGAAACTTGGAATACTTTTTGTCTACATTAGTTTTCAAGCAATCACCTGGAACCTGGCACTGGATTGTAATTCTCTTCTCTCCCAGGGGCTGGTAAAAATTACAGCTGTGTGTGCTTCCCTCCTTTCTCTCTTATTATTTTTTGGATGCATTTAGAAAACTAATGAATTATTTGAAAGACTTTACCTAGTGGATACTAAATGAACGTTCCTTTTGGAATTCGAAACTGGTGTTAACTACTTGTGAACAAAATTTCACTGGAGCCTGAAGAAACAGAAACCTGATCCATAAATTTCCTTCTTTTGTGTCCAGAAATTCACATATCAGCTCTAAATTAGTAGAAATTTTAGTGTTCTTAGAAAAGTAGCTGTGTCTCTCCTAAGGCACTTGTTTTTGTTTGTTGTGAGTAGTTGTGGAAGACCAAGTGTGTATTTTTTTTAAATCTCATATAACTTTTTAAAAAATAGTAGACAACATTGTTTACTTCTGGCAATGCTTGCACTATGCCACTGAAATGTAAAGTGTTAATAATTCCATAAACAGGTAGATTGGCAGGTACAGCCGTACAAACTTTCCAGTTACACATTCATGTAGATATCTCTCTTGCTGTGTTACTTCCAGCACTGGCTTCTGTATTTTGAATAGTTAGCGTTCAAATCTGATCTTAAGGACATAGCAGAAACCAGAAAGTAGATAATCACAGCAGTTTATTCCTTGTGCATGTGTGAACTTGAGTATATTGCTGTAACACATGACAGTAGTCCATGGTGATTTGAATATTTAACACTAACTGTTGACAGCGGTATCATGGAACAGTATCTGTCTGCTTTGGAAAAATTACAAGTCTGGTTTTGAATCCTAACATTGCCAGGCCTGTCACACACCTACCAAGGGAATGTGTCTGCTTTTCTCTGCCTCAAGTTTCCTCATTTGTAAAATTAGGATAATAGCAAATACTTCTGGTGTTTTGGGATAAATAGGAAGTACTTTCCTAAGGTGGGTCTTCAGCGAATTATAACTGTCCATCTTAGCTTTAATTTCCTACCTCATGAGCCTTCTGCAGGTGTCTTGATTTCTCCAAACTTCCTGTATTTAATATACTGGGCCAGAAAGTCCACAAATCTAATGAGGAATTTCACTGCCTAAAAAACTGTTGGGAACAGTTACTTATCATTAGAAAACAATCAAAGGAAAGAGAAGATTCTTGGCGAAATAAAAAGGAGTGCCCCCTTTTGTATTTTATTTTGTTTTTTTAAATTATTCATATGATTATAGTATAAAACAAATAAATAATAGCCTATATTCTCCTATCCACTGTTGCCCATGTGTCTTCACAAACACTACCCATGCACAAGTAAATATGTGTATCTTCATCTATACAAATAATAGTATGCAATAGAGACTGCCTTTAATTCTGGGTTCCCTTGCCTGTCTGTCTCTCTAACACACATTTCCCAGGCTAATTATAATGGCCTAGCAATTGGTTTGTATAAGTACATAAAGATCTTTAAATTTTATGTGTGTATGTGTATGCTTGATTATATGAATGGGCACTGTGTATGTACAGGAGCCTGACATGGTCAAGAGAGAACATCGGATTATCCCCTGGAATGGAGTTACAGACAGTTGTGAGCCACCATGTGGATGTTGGAACAGAATCTGGGTCCTCTTTGAAGAGCAGTAAATGCTCTTAACCACTTGGGCCCTCTCTGCGGCCTAGACCTTCTTTAAAAAGTACTTTTTATATGGATATGCTTGAATCTATTAATCTTTTACTGAGCTGATTCTATTTCTAGGTCATACATGACCTTTTAAATTGTAATGCCACCAAGCTTGGTAGATGTGCACAGCTTTAATTCAAGCACCCAGGGGGCGAAGGCAATTGGATCTCTGAATTCAAGGCCAATCTGGTCTACAAGTAAGTTCTAGCCAGGGCTACATAGTGAGACCTGGTCTCAAATGAACAAACAAAAACTTTATTTCAGCAAGAATCATCAGAGTGAGAAATAATGGAATTTGTTTGTGAAAGGAAGCTGACATTTAAACTTCTTTATTTTAACTGCACTTTATACACTTTATAGAAGCTTTAGTTAAAAGATGAAGATGTATATATAGGCAACTAGAGTGTGTAATGAGCGCAAAAGGTGAGTTTAGGCTGACATTGAAATTCTTACCATCCTGAACATTCAGCTAATTATTTTGACCAAAAAAAAAGTATCATGGGAGTTTTCTCTTGATAAAGTAAGAATTTCATTTAGTTTAGTGTTTTTTGAAGGAAGATTCTTTTCTTACTATTTATTTTGGTTGAGAGAAAGGGTCTTGTTATGTAGTCTAGACCATTCTAGAACTCATTATGTAGACCAGTTTGGCCTCAGACTTGAAATCATTCTGTTTAGCTTCTTGTAGCCTTTTGGGTACTGGGCTTACAGTACTTTTGATGGTTTGTTGGTTGGTTTGTGTGTGTGTCTGTGTGTGTAATCAGTAAGTTTTCTGTTTCTTGCGTAAATAGAAAATGGGTAATTTGATGCACATCTGTTTCCTGAGACACTGTACTTTCTTTCTTTCTTTCTTTCTTTCTTTCTTTCTTTCTTTTTTTTTTCCGTGAAAGCCCGTAGTCAGCTGGACTAAGTCAAATACATTTCAACCCCAGCACAGATCAAGACTCAGTAGCTCTTTGTTTCCTTCTTGACTCTTCAAAGCAGCATGAGGCTGTAGTACATTTGATATATACATGTGACAGTTTCTAAACAGTGCATCCCACTTTTTTCTTGTAGTGTTAAGCTGCCATGATAGACTTAATTGTAGATAGGCTTGAGTTGAGAATGAAAGTGATATAGCACACAGGCTACATTTTATAAGACTGTAACTGCTAACTTGGAGGTTTTGTTAGTGTTAATATGGTAGTAACATGCTATTTTTACCTGCTGCATAATTAAGGTGTACACAAAGCATCTAAA